TCTTCCGCGGAGACCCAAACCAGATCACCGGCACGGATGGGACATGGTACGCGACGCCTGTTGGCTTGCTGCTGCATGCGGACTTGAGCCTTTTGCATATTTGCGTGGGCTTGAGTCAGCAATTCCCTGTACTTCCGGACGGAAGCGGGAGAGCAGGCAGCGTCAATGTCGGCTGGTTGAGGGAGGAGAAGGTCGGCGAAGATCCGGCCTTTCCGTCCATCGTGGTGCAACTGGAATGGAGTCACGCCGATCGCCGGATGCGGTCAACCCAATCTTTCTGGTCTGGATGAATGAGTGTACGAAGCATCGTTTGAGCAGATTGATGTGCCCGCTCCGTTTGCCCGTCCGTCTGTGGATGCCGAGCCGAACTTGGTTTCATCTTCGTGCCAGACTCCTGCATGAGAGCAGTCCAAAATGCCGACATGAAACGAGTGTCGCAGTCACTGACTATGTCTTCTGGTACACCGTGGCCACAAATCCAACCAGTGTGCGGGAGGCGTGCCAGCTCGGGAGCCGTGGAGTAGTACTTGCAAGGAAGAAAACGCGCATACTTACTCAATCGGTCCACCACCTGAGGATGTCGTCGTGCCCGAGCCGGTCGCGGGGAAACGGACTGGTGACGTCCATGGCAATGGAGAGACCAGGTTCTCGTGGGATACGCATCGGGCGTAACTCGTCGTAGGGATTGCGGTTGCGGGGCTTGCTGCGTCGGCAAACTTCGCAAGAGTCGCAATACTGAGTGACATCGGTAATGAGATCGGGCCATCGTAATCACTGTCGAAGCCATGCAATAGTGCGGTTGACTCCGAAATGGCCGGCGAGTCGTGAATCATGATACTCGCCGAGGAGGCGAGTCTGAAGACGTCGGTCTCGTGGGACACATAGTAAGTCCTTGCCTCTCGAGTGGAGGAGCAAGTACCCGTCGGCAATGCGATAGTGGCTGGCCGGCGGGTGATCCGAAGATAGTTGGCATACAGCATGGCGAAATCCGGATCAGACTCATATGCCCGGATGAAATGTCGTTGAAGCTCCTCGTCGAATGCGAAGGCATGATGTGTCATAGCGCAAAGATCAGGTCTTCGCGAGAGTGCATCTGCTGCACAATTTGAGAGGCCGGGAAGATGTTTCGGTGTGAAGTCAAACTGGTCGATGAAGTACATCCATCGTCCGATCATGCTGCTCACCGTATCCTGTGTCTTGTAGTAGGTCAATGGATTGTTGTCTGGGACCCATGTGAACCTACGACGGCCAAGGAGGAAGTGTCACCATCGCTTGAGAGCCATGACGAACGCGAGTAGCTCCTTCTTCCTTGCATCATCAAGTGAGTTGATGGGAGACACTTTGTGGCTGAAATACTCCACAGGGTGCCAGTCGTCGCGGTCGTGTTGTTCCAAGACTGCCCCAATGCCGTAGCCGGAAGCGTCCGTAGTCACTCTCATAGGCAGTGTGGGGTCATAGATGCTAAGGACGGGTGCCATGAGCATAGCCATCTTAAGTGTTTGGAATGACCGGCGTGCGTCGTCATCGAATACGAATGGCACCTTTGCCGATTGTAACCTCGTCATAGGTGCAGCAATCCTGTACCCCGCCAATCCCATGAATGAAAGAACGCCCGTGGTGTTGGTGGGCTCGGGCCATACTCGTAGGGCCTCGATCTTGTCCGTGAGCGGATGGATGTCTTGCGGCGTCACATAATGGCCCAAGTACTCCAGCTCCTGCCGCTCGAATTCACACTTGTCGTGGTTGGCTTTGTATTTGGTTTGTCGTAGCCGCTCCAAAACGGTGCGCAGGTGTTCCACATGCTCCTCCAAACTCTGGCTGTACACCAGGATGTCGTCGAGGTAGATAAGTACGTATCGATCCAGCATGTGTCGGAACTCCGTTGTTATAGCCGCTTGGAAAGTGGCCGGGGCATTCGTAAGGCCAAATGGCATAACCAGCCATTCGAAATGCCCATATCGCGTCTTAAACGCAGTCTTGTAACGGTCCTCCTTGCGAATCTCGAGTTGGTGATATCCCAACTTGAGATCGAGCTTGGAGAAAAACTTGGCGCCGCCCAATCGCTCGAGAAGGTCATCGATGTGTGGGAGAGGGCCGGCGTTCCTGATTGTCTGCGCGTTGAGCTTGTCCACCATAGCCATGCACCTTCAACCTCCGCCCCCCCTCCTTCACCTACACCTGTCCGCCATAGCCATGCTCCTTCAACCTTCGTCTCCTTCCTTCACCTACACCCGTCCACCATAGCCATGCACATTCAACCTCCACCCCCTTCCTTCACCTACGTCCATGCACCATAGCCACGCTCCTTCAACCTCCGCATCCCCCCTTCACCTACACCCGTCCACCATAGACCAGCCACCGGTTAGGATAAGTCGATGATCGAGGTCGATTAGGATGTGAAACT